ACACACACACACACACACACACACACACACACACACACACACACACACACACACACACACGGCAGACTAGTTCACATCAAACCCCAGGCTCACCTCAAACCGGGAGCAGGGAGTGGGGGTGGCGGGGGGAGGGGACAGCAAGGCCGAAGGGGTGTGTGTCTGTGCCTGTGTGAGTGTGCGCGTGCCTGAGAGAAGAGGCCCCCTCGCTTTCCAGCCCTGCTCCGACCCCCAGCGCCAGCGCCCGCATCCTGCGCATCCCCCTTCCCCAGCCCCCCGCAGCCACGGCAGGTACTGTCCCTGGCCCACTGGCCCCCGGCTGGGGCGCGCGCCTCCCCTCCTCCCATCTTTGTTTCCTTCCAGTTTGCCTGGCTGAGCCAGGGGTGCCCTCCCACAGGGACCTCGGTCGTCTATGCCTGGTCTTTTCTCCGAGGGGGCCCGTGGACTTAAGTGTTGCCTCCAGCTGCATTTAAGGGGTGCTCAGCTTCCCTTGAGTGAGAACATGGACTGAGCTCAGAAAGACCTGCGTGTGAGCCAGGCTCAGTCACGCAGTCTGACCAGTGGCGTGAGTCACTGAACTTCTCAGCACCAGAGCCACAGTTTGCTCCTTTACAAGATACAGAAATAACATCACCTCATTCATGGGCTCAATGGCCTCCCTAACCAGGGTCAAGGGCAGGGAGCCCCTGCCCCAGCGGGAAGTCACACTTTATATTTAAACAATTCCAGTGGCGTCTTAAGAACATAAAAGCCAAGCCTGAGGAACACACGAGAAACTCCAGGGTGGGCAAATGGGGTTAGACAGACAGTCTTAGTATCTGAGCTGTACGCGGTCCTACCAGGACTGTCTCTAGACCTGCGGGAACGCAGGCTGTCCTCCTCAGCCCGTCTCCCTCCTCCACTCAGATCAGTCCCCTGGAATGAAAGCTGACAGCAGCTCGCGTTTCTTGAGCATCTACTAGGCACCAAGCACTGTGTTAAGAACTCTACATGTGCCATCTCTCTCAGTTCCTCACAACCGGAGATTATACCCATTTTACTGACAAGAAAACTGAACTCTGAGAGGTTAACGTACTTGCCCAAGTCACAGGCCAATGGAAAAGGCACGTGACTCGGGATCCGACAGCCCAAGTTCTAGCCCCGCCTCCTCTGAGTTCTCTTTGCATCCCAGTTTATCTATGAAATGGGGAAAATGATCGTAATTTACTTTGAACCTTGGGTCTGTGGATTCCTAGCAGGTTCGCGGATAAACTAGATTTTTGACAATCCCTGGAAGTAGTCTGGAAAACACAATCTCCTCCCGCTAAGAGAATCTGACTTTAATCAGTTTCTCAAATGGGTCTATAACCTTAAAAAAAGGCTGGGCTTACGAATGGGAGGAACAGGGTGGCCAGGGGAGGGACATCTGCTTAGCACTTGCTCTGCACCAGGCCCCGCAGGAGCACTTACTGGGCAGAGCTGAAAAGGAGGGTGAACTTCCAGGCGCTGTGAGATGGGGCTTCACGGCGAGGCGGAGCTGGCGGCACACTGACCCCACCCTGCCCTGTGGGACTTTGTTCTCAGCTTGCAGGATGGGAAATTCCCGGAACATGCGCCCTGGAGGCCAAACAGCTCGCTGTGAAGTCTGCTGCTCCCCTCCTCAGGGAGGCCAGTTAAGTGACAGCTGAGGGAAAGGAGCAGTCATCGACCCCCAAGAATAACACTTTCCAATGTTCTGATCACGTGACATGGGTAAGAAACATGGGCTGTGATGTCAGACGGACCTGAGTGTGAGTCAAGGCTCTGCCACTGACTAGCTGTGTGATCTTAGGCAAGTTCCTCAACCTCTCTGAGCCTCAGGTCCCTCCTCTGTGAAATGGGAATACTCATCCCTGGAAAGGCCATGAGGACCAGAGGTAATCCACAGAAAGCAAAGTAGGGCCCCCACCAGGGTGGTCTAGAACCAGCCTGCCTGGTACCCAGCAGGCACTCGGTAACCGTCTGCTGAACGGATGACCGCATGGCTATCAGAGCTGCTGTTCTGTCTGGGTTTCTGAGAGCGCCCTGTGGACCCCATGTGCGCAACCCAAGCCAGTGCTGGGGGAGGCCTTTACCTGGGACCTCAGGCACCATCCAGGACCCTGCATCTCAGTGAACAGACTCACATCAGAGCAGTGCTGGGGATGGCCAGAGCCCTGGCTGTGGAGATGGATCATGCGGACTCAGAACCTTCCTCCCTGCCCCCAAACGGCACGGCCTTGGGCTTGTCACTTCCTCATTTGTAGCACCCCTCAGAGAAGCTGAGAAGACTATGTGAGGTGATGAAGGTGAACATCAAAGCACAACAGGTGCCTCATCGTCGCTGGCTTCCTTCCTGCCCTGGCTGCTCTCCACTCCTGGCATTTCCAGAGATCAAAATCCCCGAGTCACCAAAGCCCTCTGCCTGCCCCTACGCCCGGGCATGGACCCTCTGGGCCCTGCCTGAGTGCCTGCTGAAACCTCCTTCCACCCCACCTCTCCTGCCACTGCATCCCTGCCTCCCCCACCCCCCATGCGCCCAGCTTCTAGCTCCCAGCTCATCTGATGGGCCCACACACTCCTCCAGGTTAACTCTGGATCTCCCTCCCCCTCCCTCCCCCTCTGCCCTGCTCCAGCTCCAGAACCTGCCATGGCTCCCTGCTGCGGGCTCCTGTGGGCCAAATCTTCCACAAACAACCCCGACCCACACCCTGGCATGCTACATAGGATCAGAGTACTGATGCAGGAGGCAGCAGCACTGAAGCTTCCAGAGCAGGGGATGGCCAAGCTGGGACTTGTACAATCAGGAATGTGTTAGGGAGCGAGTCCTCTGAGAAGGAGGCAGAAAGCGCACAGAGGCTGAGTGGGTGAGGCTGGTGTGAGTTGAGGCTGGAGAGGAGGGCGGAGCCACCTCACACAGGGGCCCCGGAGCTATGCTGAGCGTGTGGACTGTGTCCCGAGTGCAATGGGGAGCCACTGAAGAGTCTGGAGCAGGAGGGTGACCCGACAGCACTTTGGCAAGCTCCCCTGCTGCCAGCGGCACTACTGGCTCCCAGTGTCTGGACGCCAGTTCTGCTAACCTGTCCTGCCCTGAGATGCCTGGATGGGCCCGTGCTCAGCAGCCTTGTGCCCCGACCGACGCTGTGGCGCCGCCTGGAGGCAGGTGAGCAACCCTTGATTACCTATTTTGATGACATCGTAGGGGCCACTCTCTCGTGCTTCGTCTCCCAGGACGTCATCTTCCTCCTGTGTTAGAATCATGGGATGTACCTTGTCTCTCGGAGGCCCCGAGGGCTTGGAGGGAGAGGCAGCCCGTGGTCTTCTCACAACGTCCAAATCCCCATCCTCGTCCAGCTGAGCTGCCACCCCCTCCTGGCTGGTGGCGTCAGCCCCAGCCTGGAGGGAGACTGCCTCACTGCTGCAGCCGCTTCTGGCGGGAGGAGTCACCTCTGTGTGATGGGCTCTGTGACTGCCACCCTCAGCCCCCGAGTCTGTCTGAGAGGCTTGGTTCCACAGAAGCTTGAACTGGGACAAGAAGACTGAAAGACAAGACAAAACACAAAAGCAGAATATTTCCAAACCGTCTCCTTTTCTATTTCCCTTCCTCAATTTCCACCTGGGAAGAGTTTTAAAGGCCAGGTGAAAAAAAAAAAAAGGACAAGGACCTACTGTATAGCACAGGGAACTATATTCAATATCTGGTAAATAAACCATAATGGAAAAGAAAAAAAAAAAGAAAGGCCAGGTGGAAATATCATAAAACCAGCAGAAAAGGCCTGTCTGATTCGGCTGTGACGCTGCAGCCTCCAGAGCAGCCCTGCTGATGAGTACCTGCATTGCAGGCGCTCGGCTCACAAGATCGCATTTACTCCTTACAGCGGCTATGAAAGTGGCAGTGTCACTCTATTTTATTTTTTATTTAAAAATTTTTTTGGCTGCGCCACACGGCTTACAGGATTTTGGTTCCCGACCAGGGATGGCACCCACGCCCCCTGTAGTGGAAGTGCGGTGTCTTAACCACCAGACCAACAGGGAAGTCCCAGTGTCACTCTGTTTTACAGATGTGGAGGCTGAGGCTCAGAGGTTACGTGAGCTGACCAAGGTCACACAGCTGTGGGCGTGGCTCAGGCAGGATTCAAACCCTGTCTACTCAACCCCTGCGCTTCTGCCCTCCTCACCGCACTGTTCAGCCTTAAGGTTGGAAGTGAGGACAAGGATACTGTGTCCCTCACCACCTGGTGGCCAGAAAGTCACTGGGACAGGCTTTGGTAAGAGTATGGGTGCCGGGAGAGTTGGGCTGGAGGCAGGGGGTGTCCCGGGCCAGAGTCCTCCACGTCCCCTGACTGTCTGACCCTGGGGCAACTCGCTTGTCTGTTCTGAGCCTCAGTTTCCTGAATCCAGGAATCCAAACTGGGACATGAGGGAAAGGGGAGTTATGAACTACACCAGAACAAGCAAATACAACAGAGTGATCGGAGCTGGGGAGGGCGGCCAAGGAGGGAAGAACGTTCTAGGCAGAGCGAAAAGCAAGAGCAAAGGTGTCCAGAGAGGAAGGTACATGCAGTGTGTGAGGGGCGGAAAGGAGCAGAAAGTGGCCGCTGAGCAGCGAGGGCGGGACAGAGAAGTGTGGACACACGGGAAGGGGCTGGGTGGGGCTGGGCCTCGCAGGCCTAAGTGAGGGCTCTGATTTCCTTCTAAGAGCAAGGGAAGCCACTGGAGGGTCTAAATCAGGGCAGTGGTATGATCTGCATTTTTCAAAGGAGCCCCTGGGCTGCTGGGGAGAGGAGTGAGGGAGTGTGTACAGGAGAAAAACCAGGGAGCCCTGGCGGGAGGAGTCAGCCGGGGGTAGGGGCAGTGGGCTGCGGGAGTCCCCGTGCCCCGACTCCCCCATTGGTCCGTGGGCTCCGCCAGGGCAGAGCTCGACTCATTCCCTCTGCGTTCCCCGCATCGCATCCAGGTCTGGCACAGAGCAGGTGCTCGGGAAAGCACAGGCGTTTGCTCAGTGAAACAAGGGCACTTAAGAAGTGGTGTGAGGATAAGCTAAACAATCCAGTCTTCCCAATCTTTTCTGTGAGAAAGCAGGAAACACAATGGGCTCCCTGGGGTGCAGGGACCTTACCGGGCTGCCCCACGCCACTCAGCCGCACCATGAGTTGTCTCTGGTTTGGGGTGTGGAGGTGGACGTCTGACAGCACGGTGTCGCTTTTGAAGGTGATCTCGTCCATGGCTGGGGCGGGAGACGGCAACCACGGCCTGGGCTCCCCATCAACCATGGGACAGCAGCACCTGAGAGGCGAGAGCAAGTCCTCAGGACAGCAGGTCCCAGAGGGGAACAGTGTAAACGACCACAGCCAGGTGGCAGAGAGCTCCCTTTTCAATCCTCTCTTAATTCTTCCTGAAGGAGAAAGTCTCAGAGCCTTGGCAAGGGAACAGAATCCAGCTAGAACTGTTATTTTGTTTTTCACTGTGTTCATTTTTATAGTAATCGTTTATTTATGGCAAGAGATCTACATTTCCATTTATACTGATAAAGTTTTCCTTCCCTTTTTAATTTTTTCCAATTTTTTTATTATGAAAATTTTCAAATAGCAAGTTGAGGGCATAGCATAATAAACAGCCATATACCCACTGCTTAGATTCAATGATCATTAATGCTTTTTCACAGGATCAATCAATCCGTCTATCTAGGTTTTTTCTCCCCTGAACTGAGCACCTTCTAGACATCACACCATTTAACCCCTAAATAATTCTTCAGCATCTGTCTCCTAAGAACATGCTCCTACATAACCATAAGACCATTAGCAGACCTAAAACAATTAACAATTCCCTTATACCATTTAAAACCCAGTTCATGATCAATTTGACACCCAAACGTCTTTTGCAGCTAGTTTTTCCTAAACCAGTATTCGATCACAATTTATGCTTTGCATTTAGAAGTTGTTTTCCCTATAACCTTTTTCTTCTAGAAGTTAGCCCCAGCTGCCCATATATCATTTTTTAAACCTTCTTGTTAAATTAAAAAAAAAAAAGTGAGTGGATTTAAAGGAAAAGCAACTATGGGAATCACTGTACAGGTGATATACAGATGTGGAAAAATTATGAAGGTGACACAGCAATAACTAAAATTTGGAAAACCATGCTGGAGGCAAGGTGGTCAAAAACAGGAAGGCTTTCCCTCCATCCAAATGTTCCACCCCATCAAAAAGCATTAAACAGCAGCAGCTGCGTGCAGACAGAGCCTTGAGCTGTGATGCTGGGCAGAGCAGGTATAAACCCAGTCTCCTACCTCCTTGCTACATGACCTTGAGAAAATTACTCCACCTCTCTGGACCCGTTTCTTCAGCTACATTCTCACCTTGCAGGGTTAGCAGTAGGTGGGGGGATGGGGGGAGATATGTGGGGGAAGGGTGTTAAGTGCTGAGCAGAGCCCTTGGTCCCCAGCAATTGTTAATAAATCCTTGGTTTCAGATGCTTGACCCAAACCTGCCCACAATCCCTGACCTCCTACAGGAACCGTTCCTACTTGGGTGTGTGTGTGCACTACATGTGTGCCCCACGCATGTCATGAGACCTCTCGGGCCTCCATTTCTTCAACTGGAAAATGGGATCGTCATAACCCAGGCTGTCCACAATCTGAGTCCACATAACTGGAGTGCCTACATTTAAGTACTTTCCACGGGGAAGCAAAAGTTGTACCAACACAAACATTTTTATAAAAGAGTCGCCCCTTGCTGGCTGGCTTTCCTAGCTAACACTATAAGCCAGCACAAAGCAAGTGGCTTGTGAAGTAAGCCTGTGAATCTGGCAAATGGATGCAGGATTTCATGGTGTCAATGAAAGCAATGGAGAAGAAATGCTCGACCCTCAGGTAAAAGTCCTCAACCAATGTGGACTGGAAAAATAAGGATGGATCCAGGAAGAGTATCCAGTATAAATACAGCTTAGACCTACCATGATCAATCGTTTTAAAGACAGATCTGGCTCTCCCGGACTGAAAGAGGTCCTGGGGGAAAATACTGCAACCGCATACCAAATTTCCTTAAATACAGAGAAAAGCCAAACCCGTATTCTTAATTTCTAGTTGAAATTCCAATTTTAAAATCCAACCTGCACAGGTCTCCCAGGAAACGCACTCTACAATGGAGTACTAGGTTAAGTGGATTCCCTTTAAGGGGCTTTTCCTAGAACCAGATCTCTGGGAATGCAGAGGCACTTTGTACCTGTCTCAGCGTCTGTGTGAGGATTAAATTAAACGATGATCATTTTCAGGGTTCAGGACATAGTAAGTGCTCAATAAATGACAATAGAAAATATTATCATTATAGTGTTGATAAGAATAATTATTAACTGATGTGCTGGAAAATGTAAGAAGGCAATAGTTTCTCTATTTAGGCATAGCTGACTCCCAGTCTCTGTCTGGGAATGCTGGGGCTGGATGGGCTTCAGTCCCCTCTTCTCACTGGGGAGGAGGGAAAGGACACCCCGACTGCAGATGGGACCTCTGCTTCCTCCTCTGGGCAGCTGACAAGTGTCCTTGGCTCCTCTAAGGCTGTGAGGGCCAGACGCAGACGCTGCCATCCTAACACTGTCAGGAGTGCCCACTAAAAGCAGTTTGCTGGGATCTGGGGGTTGTAATGCCTCCCCGCGTCCCAGGCTTTCTCTCTGCCAGGTGTCACAAGGTCATCAACAATCAGAAAGTAGGCGCGATTCTGACACCGAGGCCCAGGTCTGTGGGGCAAAGACTTGGCCCTGGCCGCGGCGCGGAGCCATAGTCAGGGGCTCCAGGGTCCTCGACCCTCGGGGCTCTTCGTTCTGTCTTGCTGCTCCCTTAACTCCAGCTGGCGAGCTAAGCATTGCCCTCTCAAACAGCAGTCACAGCTCGGGCATCACCCTCCCTTCCTAATCCAAAACCGAGGGGGCTGCGTGGACCCCGAACGGAAACCCAGAGGAAGGAATGGACTCCTTCTCCCAACACCCTAGCTTAGAAGGGGAAACTGAGGCTAAGTGGGGACTTAGGCTTCAGGCCCGTGGGAGCCCGCACTTCAAGGCCAGGCTCGGTGCCAGGAGGCTCCCTAAACCCTTCCGCGTGCCGCCGCCTCTCCCACGGGCTTACCCACCGGAGGCCGCTGCCTGAAGTCCCAAGCGAAACGCTCACCACGGCGCGCAAGCGGCCGCCACTGCAGGCAGCCTGCGCAGGCGCGGCCCCACCCCCTGCGCGTGTGTCCCTCCTTGTCGCCCGTGACCACGCCCACCCGCCGAACCGCGCATGCGTGCCAGCCTCGCTGGCAAACAGGTGCCGCCCTGAGGAGGTGAGTTTCGCGCCTGCACAGGTTTGCTCTCACCTGCCCTGGTTTAATGGGGTGGCCGGCCTGGGTGGGACAGGTCTGCGAGAGAGGGGCCGTTAGGTCGCCCCAGGTCACCCAGCTAAGTGGCAAGGCTTGGATTCGAACCCGGGTAATAGGGCTCTAGAGCCTGTGCTGTTAACCAGCATACTAGCTATATACTAATTATCGTTATCCCTGCTCTTAGTACTCATTAATATAATAGCTGGTACTCGTTTCATTCATTCATCCACTCGTCAAGTCTCCAACAACCAGGCGAATGAAGAACCTCAGGTTAATTAGCGTCTAACAGGAAATGAAATCTGATACAACTGTTGCACTTCAAGTAAACTTCCAAGCACATAGGACCACAGATGTAAAATGTGCACACATTTACATGCACATACGGAGGGTCAACATCAGTTTCGTGGATAAAACATGAAGGGGTGGTTAATAGGGTGAGCAAGCAACATAAGTGTTTTTAAAGGAAACAGATTGTTTCTTGAACTCCCCAGGACAGTGCAGGGGGAGCCGGCTGGGCATCTTGGGACCCCGTTCTAGTCTTGGTTGGGTTGTTCCCAGGGGATGTCTGGGTGCTAGGAGGGCACCGAGGAAGGTGGTGTAGACACCTCTGGGTTTTTTGTCTAAAAGCTTGTGAGAATAAAGCAGGCAGAGCCATCTTTTAAAAACGAAAGTCAGATTACGTCCCTCCTCTGTTCAAACCCTTGGACGCCCCCACCTTACTGACAGAAGGAAGTCAGTATTCTCACAGTCATCCCCTCCCCATCTCATACCCGACTCTGCTCCCTCCTATTCACCCGGGAGGCTTCTCTCCAGGACACCCACCTGCCTTGTTCCATTCCCTCACCTCCTTCTGGCCTGTGCTCAGGCATCATCCTCTTCTCAGTGAGATCTTCCCAGACCATCCTATTTAAAATAACGGCTTCTTGGGGAATTCCCTGGTGGTCTAGTGGTTTGGACTCTGCGCTTCCACTGCTGGGGGGCCCAGGTTCGATCCCTGGTCAGGGAACGAAGATCCCGCAATCCCCAGGCCCTGGCCAAAAAAAAAAAAAAAAGCCACCTCTCCCCATCCAGGCACTCCCTGGTGCATAGGAGCTGCTCAAAAAGTTCAATTTGTCGAATGAAAGAAGAAAGGAAAGAGGAATGTGTGCTCACGGGGTGTGCAGAGAGGGTAGACAAAAGCAGATGTGATGTCACTGCCCATTTTGGGCTGCCCGGATGTGTTAGGGAACTGGACAGAGAGCTGCTGGGGGTCTGGGTAGCTCCTCACTGAGATGTTGAGGTAATTCACGTCATCCCAGGCTTCCTGTCATCCTCAGCGTCAAGTTCAAACTCTCCACTTGGACCCTGTTAACCTTTCCTCCCTGAGGCACGGACAGTATCCATTCTTCTCTCCTCCTATAGTTGTATAATATTTTTGCTGGGCACACGCTTCCCTCAAATTAAAGACTATTTCCCAGCCTCCCTTGCAATAGCAAGGACATGGGGTTAAACTAAAGGGATTAAGCCAATGGGATGTAAAGGGAAGTGTTATGGAGCAGTTTCCGGGACCCTCCCTTAAGTGGGAAGCTGGGGAGTCCTTGGTTCCTGATACTTTGTCCCTTCCATCATTCATGAGGCCCAAAACAGATGTGCTATGAGGGCTCTACACTAAGTTATGGCAGAGTGGCAAACCTACTTGGGGGTCACCTCCTCCAGGAAGCCTTCCCTGATTCCCCCTCCTCCAGCTCACGACTATGAGTCTCTGGGCCCTCCCAGTCCTCTCTAGTGTCTCCATCAGAGCACCTGTGACTCCCCCACCAGGTTGTGAGTGCCTTGGAGGCAGGAGAAGCTGCTGGTTCCCATCAGCAACTTATGCTGGATTTCTCCGTATCCACAAAGGAAAAGAGAATAATGCTTGTAAAGCAGTTAACATCATCCTCGGCATGCTGTGAGTACTCAAGA